GCATAGAAGCCTTAACTGGAACAACTTTGTTCATTACATCCTCATGAAGAGTTAAAGGCAGGTTAGTGTTGGACTCACTGCCATTGTCAACGTTGATTTTCTTACGAACCGAGGTATGTGATCTTGTTGCATTACGTTTCCTTGAATTAGCACCTGGTAGTGGACTGCTCTCCCCCTCTTCTTCTGGTTGTGCTTTTGCTTTGTGTCTTCCTCATATTCTTTTGTATCCCCGTGACAACTCTGGTTTCCTTTTGTCTCTCCCCTAGTCTTGCTGATACATGTAACTTAAGCCTTGGAGACCCGTTACGCTCTGGCAGATCAGGAATGGTTTTCTCAGAGTCTGGAGAAGTCCTTAGCTCTTGATTCTCTTGTCCTTGACTTTGAGACACTTTCTTTCCACTCGTTTTCATCAGAAGAGTGTTCCCCTGTATCTCCTTGCTTATTTGGTCACTGTGAACCTCATTAGATAGTAACCGAGTATTCTGAAACCCAATAGGGATTTTGTTACGGATAGTCTCCGAGTCTTCCGGTAGAAAAAGTCTCTCTTGTACCAGTCTTCGCAAGCCGGATCTAGTATTCGCCGATCCTTCCGGTTCCTCTCCATTCGGCTGTTGAATCCTTTCCAAAATTGGTCTTCTAGATAGGGATTTTGAAGTTCCTTAACCTTCCTGGGAAGTGAGCTTCTGGTTCCGTAGCTGGTTCATCTTCTCCCTACTACCTTTAGTCAACACCTTGGAGAGAGACTTATCATTATCAGTGAGCTCCATATCGGAGTAGGCTTTGTCCTCATGACGAGGTAATTGGTTGCTCAATTGTTTAGAATCTCTAGTTGGGATATCCGAAACAGAGTATTCTCCTCTACCTTGCTTGTCACGGAAACTGATTCATGGTGATACGAAGAAGAATATCTTGGGCTAGTTCTCAAGGGAGAAATACTTCTGGATCTCTTCGTCCGATGACGTCGGCTCGCATGTTGTTCTAATCCCTCTACCCACTCAGGTGATCTTCTAGATCCTCTTCTTCGTTTGTCTTCCTCAAGGTGCTGGATCGGCTTTTGTTGGTTAATTCCCAACTTTACAGGACTTGCAACTTGGCTTTTGGATTTCCTTGGACAATCTGCTTCCTCATGTGTGAGTGAATAACACGTAAAAGCAATGCTTCTCCAATCTTTCGTAATCAAATTCTACTGGAATTTCCTCTCCCGGTTTTAGTTGCACCGATGTCTTCATACTCTGAGGAGGGTCCCAATGGATAAGAGAATACGACCCATCCAATTGTTACGTTGGGACGAGTCTGCTATAGCTTTTCCTTTCTCTGTTCTGGTGTACCGGTGGCTAGTCATCTTGTTATGCCTAGCGTTGATCCTTCCTTAGTACGTAAGGTGGTGACTGTTGATGTAGACCTTAGGGCAAGGTAGGTATACGTCTTTGGAGATTTGTATTCTATTTCAAAAAACTTCAAAAGATGCAACAAAGACTGCACGCTGCAGTAAATCGGATCGAGATTAACAAAAACAGTGAGAAAAACTAGAGATTTAGCTAACAAATCAACGAGTTTAGGGTGTAAGGCAAGCGTCGGCCGTGAAGCCTAAAAAATCGCCTTCAGAGCTAAACCCTAGCATTTCTTAATCTTCTTTGTTAAAAAAAATACAGTGTTCATATATTGTTTTACAAAATTGTAAAATGGATGAGACGTATCATCTATCTTTCTAAATATCAATAAATAAAATTATAGTGAATAATTACCACCCAAGAGAGGAGCCTTTTGTGAAGGAGAAGACTCTATGGTAAATGTGTCCACTTTCTCTTCCTTATTTTTACCCCACAACACCATGTAAAATCCTATCGATATCAGTATTCCTCCTATCAAACTGTGTATTCAAACATAAATTAAACAGGAGAATTGTGAGATGAGATTTACATAATGAAATTGAAAAACATAATTAAAGGCAAATAGAATCAATTTTTTTATGTTATACCTTCCAAGGTAGATCGACTCGCCGAGGAAAATGGTAGTTGATGCGGCTGCGATCAATATAGATAACGGCTTGAACATCGACAAATACACAGGTCCCTTGTGACTCACAGCCCAAGTATGTATAACATAGTATCCCGTATTCAAAATCCCCTAGAAAATCAGATCCAGAAAACAAGTAGATTAAAAAAAAAAACATTTATAACCAACAAATTATTTCACAGTTTTAGATATATAATATACCACTGCTACAATGCTGATCAAGCTTATGTCAAATCCTATGATCCATGCCTTTGAGTTCTCCTTCTCCGCTAAAAGACTAACCAATGCACACACAACGGTAATGCAAATATTGTGCACGAGCGTCACAACAACCGTAGATGGATACCGATTCATTGTATGTGCCTATAAATACCCGAGTTTCGAGTTATCATATATAAGAACCAACTTAAACAAATGGAAATATTTAATTGAATGATACTTTTTATTTGAAGTGAATATAAAGATGAACATGTACGTAATGTATGTACCATAACAAGGTAAGAGACAGAGACAAGGATGTATTGGAGAGCAAGAAGGGCACCACCAAAGACCCAATCGGAGTGTGAAGACATTAGCATTGGACCGTGGTAGAGAGTAACCACAAGTGCACCAATTATTGACATTATTGTCCCCAACACTTTGGCTAAACTACTCTCTTTCCTTAGAGATATTTTCTCCATCCTTCACCAAATAATATATAGGTTTTGTTAAGACTAAGAAACATTGTGTTCCACGCGTCTTCAGTGATTATTAAAAAATTGTTCACATTTTCGATGGTTATATTATAAAATTAATCTAAAATCTACAACAAATTCCGTGGACCCAACGATGATTGGAGATATCATTTGGACATATGTGAGACCTTTTTGTTTGTTTCAAATTCAACATACGAATGTGAATCTAAAAACCACATGACTTTTCTTTTTTTGGTCACAAACCACATGACTTTTCTTTTTCTTATTTTCAACTATTTATTGAGAACTAGGGATGGAATTATTATGCGGGATCTAAGATCCGATCCGTTATCCGTTCGAAATCGCTCCGAAAATTAGGATATATAGAGAACTCAGATCCTGATAAGGATATTAAAATTTAGGATCTGTGAAAAGA